GGCTGGGCAGGCAGGAGGAGGCAGCTGCCGGGGTGGGAGCCGAACAAGCGAGCATTCAGGTGACGCAGCGGCAGCTGCTTCCCTGTGTGGACCTCTCCGCAAGCCCGCTCCTGCGGGAAGGGAGGCAGGTCCTGCTCTGAGTCAGACTCGCCACAACCCACATCAGTTGGAGGCCTGGGTGTTTTTGGGTTTTTGGTTTAGGTTTTTTTGGTTTTTTTTGTTGTTTTGTTTTTTCCATGGATATTTGGGGATATTCCTGCTCACTCTTGTTTTTCTTCTCCATTCACATGTGTAGTGGTCAGAAAGATGGGGTGGGATTCCAGGATTAATCACTTGCCTTTTTTTTTTTTTCTCTGCCTGTATGTCTTGCCTTTCCCAAACTAATGCTTGGCTTTTTCTGGATGGCACTGGCCTCTTGCAATGTTACTGATCCCGAAGCTCCTGGGCATAGCATCGCTACTCTTAGCTGCAGTGCACATTTAGGCTGGTGCCTGCTGTCACCACTGTGGAGGGTCAAAGTGGAGCACAGGGTTTATGTGGAGCTTGCAGGCTGGAGTACGCATTTTTTGTGGTGATTAAACTTCTGCTTTTAATGTCTCAGCGTCCCTGCATGGGAAACTCTGCAGTTCTTTGACGTAGGTTTCTCTTCCTGTGTTGTTTTTTTTTTTTTTTTCCCTCCATCCTTTTGGTATTTCTGTCTTTCTGCAGACCTGTGAGCTTTCTTTCTTTCTATTCTAGTTTTTCTACATGCAGCAATTTCTTACTTCCTTCTGCCTTCACCAGACCTCATCACTGCTGCTTTCCATCTTCGCAATTTTTTTTTAGTAAGTGATTAAGTAGATAATGATGATCCTTCTGTATTGGAATTGGGCTTTTTGCGTGCTATTCCAATTAGGTTAGTTGGGAGCAGGAGAATTACACACTCCTTCCTTCACGCTGTCTGCAGAGTTGGAAAGACAGCTTCGCATTTGTAGGCTCAGCCTACGAGGAGGCGCCTTCCTTCAGGCTTGCAAAGCCTAAAAAACTTACTGGATTTTTGCTGAACAATCTGCACATCGTGTGTCCCGTAAATTCCCTGACATCTGTTTGGCAAGCCGTGGTATGCATCTTTTTCTAGAAAGTGGCTTGAAAGAACTGAGGGATTTCTGTTTTCATCTTTAATCTAGAAAGCCTTCTGCAAGTTGCTTTCACAGATCTATTTAGAGAAGACAAAAGTGTGAAGCTGCCCACCAAGAGGATTCTAGATTTTATTTTCTTTTTTACCGACTGGCTCTACATCGAGTCTCTTTATTTAAAGGTCTCTCTTCTATGAGCCAGCTGCCTCATTTGCTCCTGCCTTCTCTTCTGTTCTGAAAGTAGCATCACTTCAGAGACTTCTCGGAGCAAAGGAGTGTCTTTCAAGTGCTCAGGGTTTTTTTCCACACCTTCCCTCCGTGGTGTGGTATTGTTTGGCTGAAGTGTCCCTTCCTTTCCAGCAACCTTTAATTTTTCTGCAGAGGAGTTGGTTCTGAGGTCACCTCAATTCTCTTCCCAAGGGAAATTCAGACTATAAAAAGTCAACTTTCCTGTCCTTGTTTTGTTGTAAACCTGCTTGCACTCTGGAAAAAAAAAAAAGAAAAAAAGTAACCATGCTTTTTGCATGTGGCCCAGATTGTGGGATCCAGCTTGTTAGAGCCAAACCCTGGAGAAAACCCATCCCTGCCGGTATCTCGCCACACGCAGCCGAGCAGTGCCCTGAGATCCCCGATGTCCCAGGGCTTTGTGGTCTCACAGAAAGACTCACTTGGAGTTCTTGGGAAAACACAGCCGAATGCTTTTCCCCCCAAAATCCCCGCGCTTTCTGACAGAGGGTTTGCACGGGACTTCTGCAGGGACGCTCCTTGAGTAGCCTTTCCTCTCTTGGTTTGCCGCTCAAGTAAAAACGCTGCCAAGGAGATGTTCCCCGTCTTATTGCTGTCTTGGGGCTAAGCTCAACATTCCTCCCGCACTGTCCCATTAAGACCTCATCCGTGCTCCCACCTCTCTTGCTTTCCCCTACTCCCTCCTCCATCCATGTATCTGCCCTGCGACCATCCCTAGCCCACGGTGGGCAAGCCCGGCCGGGCCCAGGCTGCCGGAGGAGTTGGTTCCCCTTTCAGATAAAGCAGTTCCAGGTAAGGAGGCGAGTTGTTTTTTTCCACCCTCCGGCAAGGCGGTGCGGTGGCAGCTTCCCGCTCTGCCGCCGGCGGCGGGGCTGTGGCAGCACCGAGCTGGCACGGCACAGCACCGTACAGCCTTCGCCGTACCCCGGCACCCGGCGCGGGGCGTTTCATTTTGGGATTTTTATCAGAGCGTTATAACTGTTAACGTAATGTTAACTGGCACGATGCTATTTACAATTTGAATGTGGAACGCTTAAAATATTAATGGTTTGGAAATGTAATTGGTAGATCTCTTAAGCAGGCGAGGAGCTTGTGTTAAGTGCTAGCGATGTGTTTTCCTTTTAACACACCATGCAATGTGTAATGCCTTTCCTTCCCATTTAGGCTTGCCCGTATTCCCAGTGTCTCCGCACATGAAGAGCCTTTCATCCAGCAATGCAAACAGCAAAAGGCAGGCTCAGCCAAGCTGTACTCCAGCCTCGAGGTTGGCTGCCAAACAGCAGAAAATTAAAGAAAGCCGGAAGACAGATGGGCTGTACACAGACGAAGAGGAGGATTTCCAACATGCATCTCTGCTGCAGAAATACAGCGAGTGTGAGAAGCCATCAGGGAAACGTCAGTGTAAAACAAAACACTTGGCACTGCAGGAGAGGAGAAGGAGGTCATCTCTGACAGGGGATGACACCACAGATATCGAAAATGCTGAAGATAAGGTATCTTTATTTAGACTTAATTGTCCACCAGCCTCTCGGAAGGCAGTGCCAGCCTGCTTAAAACCAACGCGCTGTCATGCATGCAGGGTAGCGGGGATTGCATTCAAATTCATCTCTGGATGCTTTGCACATTTTGTGTTTGCTTTTCCTAACCCAAGCTTAAAGGCACTATTGCAGGGGGGTCAGGCGTCTTGCATATAAAAAGCTGTAGCAGGGCCTTTCTTAAAGAATTAAAATACGAGTGGAAAAGTGTAATTCTTTGCTGGCGAAGTACAATCCCATCGCTGTATTGTATAAATGAGGATTAAAAAAAAAAAAAAAACAACTCCCACAATAATGGTTTTGACAGGTCACCGTAACGAGGAAGGTCAGGAAGCGACCAGAGCCCGCTTCAGACGGCGACTCCTCGCCAGCCAAGTCGTACGAGCAGAAGCTGTATGATCGCCTGCAGCAGACTCCCTCGTCACTCCCCGTCTCACAGCCCCCCCAGCTGCCCATCGCCAGCCCCCCTCAGGAGACCACCCCCAGCCGGCCCATGCCGCCCGAGGCGCGCAGGCTCATTGTCAATAAGAACGCGGGAGAAACGCTGCTGCAGCGGGCGGCACGCCTGGGATACGAGGTAAGGGTCCCTCGCCCCCATCCTGGCCGATGTTGGTTTTGTTCCAAGAGTTAAAACCCTCTTTTCCCGTTTTATAGATGAGGGTCCGGGGGCAGCTGGCTGCGGGAATGGGTCCCCACAGCTGGCAGGGGCGCAGGGCACGCAGTAGGATGAGCAAAGGGTAAAGTTTTATCAGTAACCCTTGCTTCCGTTCAAATATAAGCCATCTGCAAACAGAATTAATGTCTTTTTTATTTTTAAAGTAGTCTTCTTTACGGTGGTCTTTAACGAGCTGTGCGAGTTTTGCTTTTGTTGTTTGTGATGAGCATGTAGTTTAGGAAGAAGGGTTTCCTTTTTTTCTCCTTTTCTCTGACGGGTATCTGGTATGTGACATGGGATTTAGCGCTTGGAGCGTCCTGGCATGATCAGATGCGTCGTAGGACTACTCTGTGTGCTTTACGCTCGGAGTCTGGAGCTGCTCGGTGTAGCTGGAACAATGTTGTCTAATGAAGCGGGGCCCCCTGTTGCCACAAAACCCAGAAACCCGCGAATCCTCTAGCTCTGCTGTTTTGAAGCACGCTTTTATTGGGGAAATACGGGCATGTAGGTATGGAGCGTCATCGTTGCTCAACTTCAGATCTCGTGAAGAGGTGTTTGATTGCAGCGAGTGGTGGCTGCTGCCTTTCGGGGCGGCTGCAGGGCTCGCCTGGGTGGTAAGAGGACCGCTTGGACCTTCAGAGCTGGGCTTGAGCCCCGTGCTTGAAGGTGGCATCAACCCAGGCCCAGGTGGGGGCTCCCCAGCCTCAGGGGTTTGTAGAAACCTCAAAATGCCCTTTGTACAGCTGGAGAGCTTCGTGTGGAGAAAGAGAGGCCTTCTCCAGCTCTGGAAGGCACAGTTTGTTGGAAAGGTTTTGTTTACCCTAGACAAAGGCTTCTTCTAACCCAGGGCACTTCAGCTGTAGCTGGGAGGAGGAGAAGTGGTTGTTACAACGTTGCTATGGTAATCTCCGTAATTTAAATGATTTAATTTCCTACGGACCTAAAATTTCCTACGCATCTAAAATCAAAATGTGTGGTAACGTGTGCTCCGAGCTGTCAGTATGTATCCTCCTTTGGCAGGGTGTCTGTCGGGGCGAGCACTGCTCACGTGCAGCAGGAGGCTGCCGTGGGATGCTTGGGCGCTTTGCTTTCTGCGCCTGGCGTGCTCTCAATGGGACCAGCCCCGAAACTTAGTGGTGGGCTCAGGTCTTGCTCAAGCAGGGGCTGAGGGCTCTCTGTGTGCTTTGCTGATATAGCAGGAGCTGTCTGCAGCGCTGACCCTTACCGGGCTGGTTGCAGAAAGTCAGGGTGCCAGGGCCCTGGGGTAAGCCCTGTGTTCCCATCATCAACTGATCAGGGGTATTCTGACTTGAGTTCACCCAAAAGTTCAAGCAAACGAGGGATGAGGGGGAATGGCTTCAACTGGAAGAGGGCAGATTTAGATTAGATATTAGGAAGAAATTTTTCACTGTGAGGATGGTGAGGCGCTGGAAGAGGTTGCCCAGGGAAGTTGTGGATGCCCCATCCCTGGAGGTGTTCAGGGCCAGGCTGGATGAGGCTTTGAACAACTTGGTCTAGTGGGAGGTGCCCCTGCCCATGGCAGGGGGGTTGGAGCTCGATAATCTTCAAGGTCCCTTCCAACCTAAACCATTCTATGATTCTGTGAAACACCATGTTTTTAATAGGGCTAAATATTCCAGTGGTTTGACTAGATGGTTCAGCCGGCATTGACACTGCAGCAGTGAGTCTTGTTAGTGGAGTGTGGGGTAGGAGAACCCAGTGGGACAGAAGGGAGAGCCTGGTCCCTGTGCCCAAGCTGCTGCCGGGATATGACATTGGCCGTGTCTTTAAAGGACTGGAGCAGTGGGTGGCCACACCACCCCGTTAAGGCTTCATTTGGCCTGTGGTGAGCTGTGATAGTTTGGTCAGCCATGGAAGCTCTGTAGCTGTGTTGTTTTTCTTGCTAGCGACCAGACTACTGCAGTTATTAGAAAGCTGAATTCCCTCTGTTTCCAGAACAATTAGAGTGGTCAAGAAGTAAAAAATTCCTCTATTTAAAGGGAAAAAAAAAAAAACAAAAAAAAAAAACAACAGGGGTCAAGGTAATTTGCTGGTTTGCGACCTGTGGCAGCTGCATGCATCTTTTGTTTACTTTGATGGCTCCAGTGTGGTGGCCAGGGGCTGATGCTGAAGTGGAAGCTCTGGATGCTCATGGGCACGTGGGGACTTCTCCTAGCTTCTGCAGTGGCGGCAGGAAGCCCCGTGGCGAGTGGGCCTGCGCCACCGGGGCCATGGCTTGCAAAGGGATGCCAAGTGCTGGTGCAGGGCTGGGAGCTGGAAGTGGCCGGCAGTGCCGGGCACCACCGAGCCCCAACGGCGGCAGGGGTGCTGTGGTGTGGGGCAGAGCGGCACCAACGGCTCTGCCCTGAGACCGGGTGAGGAGCTCTGCCTGCCCTTGGCAGCCCACCTGCGTGGCAGGGATGGCCGGCGGCCCTGCAGGGGTCCCACTCCAAACCCAGTGGCAGCACTGGCTACTTCTGCATGCAAAGGTGCTGGCGAGCTGTATGCATCGCTCCTGGATCCACAGGGAGCCCAGATGCTGGTAGCTCAGGTGTCCCTGCCACACTCTCAGTTGCACAGTATGGATGTGCCCCGGATAGTTGCGAGGAGGGGGACACACATACGTGGTTGCGATTTTGCATGTAAAAGCTGACGTGAGAATGAAATGTCAGAAGGACAAATGCGGCTTGTGTCTGGTCAGATAAATGGCAGGGCTGCAACCAGCAAGGCTACTTAAAGACCGTGCGGCAAATGGTCTTTGGCTCTAAAAATCCATACGGTGTGAGCAAAACCCCGCCGGAGCTGGTGGGAAGCTTTGCCTTTTCTTCGCCAGGCCGTGCTTCATCAGGGTGCGAGCAGCCCGTCCCAGTGTATGGGCGCTCTCGAATCCATTCTGTTTTCCCCATTTGAAACAAATGACTTGAGATAATAGTAGTCTTAAAACTGTAATTTACTTTTTGTGAAGGGGGAATTATAGGGAGTGTAAAGTCTTTCGGGGGGGAAAAAAATTACAAAAGGCTTGTGTAATGAATTTGATGGGAGAGGAAACACTGGCTGTCTTTGTGCCGCTTGTTGCTTTTCGGTGTGCGTCTGGACTTGGAAAGTTCTCTTGTGAATTTGGGATTAAATCCTGCCTGGGAAGGCAGTGAAATCCGAGGAATGTGTGGTGTGTGGTAGGGGAAAGATGGTATTTGTTTCCAGGGGCTTTAAACACTCATGAAGACGGGGGTTACCCAGGCAGGGGGAGAGGGTTTGCCCTAAGGGTGCCTCACGCTAGGGTCTGGCCCTGGGTCTCTGGTGGCACAGGAGCTCCTGAGCATGGTCCTGCCTTTGTGCAGCTCCCCTGGGGCTCTCGCGCCCCGCCAGGGGACCAGCATCCCTTCTGGGGTTTGGCAGGGTGCTGCGGGGAACCTTTATGGCTCAGTTTATAGTGCCTTGCCCAAGGGCCATGTTTTGAGGTTGGGTGGAGGGGAATAGTGCTTCTTGGTGGTGGCATGTGTGCCCAGGGCATGGGGGGTGCCCAGGGGGATTCTGACCCCCTTCCCTGGGAAAAGGGGCAGGAGCGCTGCTGCAGAGCACGGGTGGGAGAGACTAAAGGGAAGGGGCACCTCTTTGCAGATGAGGACGGAGCACGTGTATTTGCATGCACCTTTCAACGTTGCTGTTCGCAATTGGGCTAACGAACTGCAGGCAAGCAGAAGCGGCGGTGGCAGAGATCTGTTGCCTGCAAGCGTGACTCTTTGGATTAACGGCGAGCGGTTTTTCAGATTGCTGGTTTAAATAGAGCACCTGAACAGACATTAAATTGCCCCGTGGCACTTTCACAGCCTTTCTCTAACGTTAGCGAGAGATGCTTACGAAACCAAAAGTGTGTTTGTGGCACCACATGTTCCTACATTCGGCAGCGATGGCTAATTTTTTTGTAAATTGAATAAATCATGTTAAAAAAAGTTAATGAGGCATTTAATTAATTAACAATGTAGAGTTTTATGGTCTTTATGGTTACATTTTGTGGTTAATGACATTCTTCTTATAGCCTCTTAGCACAAAATTGCCCGACAAAATTAGCCTTTTCGGCCAGTAGTAGGAATTCCACCCTAGGACAATCCTTTCCTTTTTACAAAAATAGATGAAAGGTTCTTTTATTTTGAGTTGCAGAATCTATTTTAAATGGTAACTGCATGCTAAAAGTGGAGCCGAATATGGCAGCTGCTTCTGCTACCTATATCCATCTGCTAATTTGCCTGGTGGGGTGGTCTGGTTTTGAAGGAAAATTCATAGCCTCGGGGTATAATTTTGCACAGCCCTTTCTTATGGGCTTGAGCGAGTGAAGGGTAAAGAGCCTCCGTTCTGGACTGATTTTTGGCCTTTGGGATCGTTAGCAGGAACATGAAGAGCCCCTGTTCGGCGAGAGGCTGGACTGTGGGGATCCCAGGTTAAACCAGTGGGTGCATCATGTGTAAGTGGTGGACCGTCTCTGTCCCGGCGGCAGATGATGGGGATGCGCTGGCGCGTGGGACGGGCAGCTCATTAGCTCCCCGCTTTAGCCTGGTTAGTGAGGGCCTGCTAAAAGAGCAGCTTCATGCTGTATCCTGGATACCAGCTCTCGGGTCAGGTACACCCAGAGCACAGATTATTGCGGGCTTTCCGGGAGATTTTGAAATGGGAAGCATAAATGCATCTCACCCAGCAGTTGTTTTATTCTCTCGTTTCGGCACAGCAAACGCTCACCCCCTCCGCACCTCCATCCCGCTTTGTGAGGGTGTCGCTCAGCCTTCCAGAGGAGCAAATGCAAAATTAACGGCTTGCCACTCATCTGGGAACACAGGGTCTATTTTATACATGGAGCATCACTTAGAAATGCATTTGTGGTTTGTTTTTTTTCTTTTTCTTTTTTTTTTTTCCTTTTGCATCTGGCACACATGGAGGAAGACTCTCACTATCCTAAATTTTTGGTTGAGTGATGGAGCAGTCATTGTTTCAAGGCCGCGCGACAGCGTGGAGCTGAGTCTGGCCCAGGCTCTCGACCGTGGTATATTTGACTGCAAGATGAATTGTGTTAAATTCACATGGCTTCCCATGGCGCTGGGCTCGTTATTGGAACCTGGCACCTGGCTTTAGTTCTGCATGCAGAAAACCAGGGTGGGTGAAAATGGGATTTCCCTGATCTTGATAGAGCCGGGCTTTTTTTTGTTGTTGTTGTTTGCTGGTAGCAAACTGTCCTTTGTGTGTCTTAAATGTGTTTTGTTTCGGGTCATGCGCTTTTTCTTTTTAAAATCAAACTGACGTCGGCTGTGCTGCTGTTGTGCTTGCAGAATTTTCTGCTAAAAAATGCAGATGTCAGAGTAAAAACCTTCCTGCTAGCTTTACGCGTGGAAGTTTTGAGAAATGGAAAGCTGTGAGTTTTGTCTGCGAAATTTGCACGTTCCCCCGCTGCGACGATTCCTGGTGTTGGGGGCTGCAGGAAGGTCCCTGCGGGACGTGGAGCTCTTGGTGCTGCTTTGCACAAGCTAGGCTGCTTGTGGGAAGTCGTGGTCTCTGCTACATCTCCTGAATAAACACAACTTTCAATCGCTCCCCCTTTTCTCTTCCTTTTGACTGACCCATCCAAAAGAGAGTAATTTAGGCATATCGTAGGGAT